CTCCCTTCTCTGGAGACTCCAGGCTGTGTCAAGTTGACATTTGAAGCTACCTGTCAACTTTCTTACTGTCACCTTGTCTCCTCCCTTCTAGGCTCACACATGGATGGTGCAGCTCTGTGCTGGTGGCTGCATCAGTTCCTTCTCAGTTGCTGTGATGGACACCATTGTTGGGGACCGCCTGGTCCTAGGCTTTCCCTGGGGCCCTGAAGTATGGGGAAGGATTGGTTCCTTGTCTAACACCAGGAACATGCAGGGCAATACCAGTAAAGCCTGGGGCCAGGGCCTTAGAGAAGCTGTGGTTTCACGCCCTGGGAGCCCAACTCTTCCCCACAAGGGGCCGTGGTTATCGGTCTCAAGGTCCATGTGCTCTGTCTGTGATGCACCAGCGATTTCTGTGTTCCTTTCCTACAACAACGCCTGATTAACCTCCTGCTGACTCCATCCCAGTGCATGGTAGCTGTCTGCTGACCGCTCCCATTTCCCCTCTGCAAACCATGTACAATAATTCACAGGACATAAGTTATCAATTTATGTAAGATCTCCTGGTCCCAGCTTTCCTATCTTCTTTATTTCTCTCATTCCCAGCCCACTGTCTCAGGATCCTCTACTGCAGTCTTCTGGTCCAGGTCACACCATGACCAGGGCAGCAGATAAAAAGAAGGGTTTATTTGGACCTATGGTTCTAGAGGGTTGAGTCCACTGACAAAGAAGCATGGCAGCCTGCAGCAGGCAACATCAGGAAGCTCCAAGCTCACATTTTGGTTCATAAGCAGGAAGCAGAGAGTGAACTCACAGTCAGATAAGACCTTAGGCCCTCAAAACCCACTCCCTGTGACAAACTTCCTCCAGGAAGGCCACACCTCCTTCAAATTAGCACTATCAACTGGTTACAAAGTGTTCAAGTGCCTGAGGCTATGGGGACAACTCATTCAAACAACTACAGTAGCCTCTTTGGTGAGACCTTCTTGTGAATAGTTAAGATACATGGTAAGGCAGTGGTACTAAAATCAAGGCCTGAGTTCAGATCCCCAGTGTGGCCCTCCATCTCCGTGTGTCCACAGTGAGTCACTGTCCCTCTCTGATGCTGTGTCCTCTTCTGGAGAGGACGATGGTGAAGGCTGAAGCCCCTGTATTCCACCTCCTATGGCAAAGGCATGTGCATGGTTTGTTCATGAGCACAAGTCAACATTTAGAGAGGCAGGGCAGCGGGGAAAGGAAGCCAGACAGCTCTGGCCTCACTAGACAGTGAGGGAGGGAAGCAAAGGTGTTGTGTAGTTGCACACACATTAGACACACACAGGGTCAGATGCTATGGTGCAGGAGGTGGGACAGGCTTGTGTCCTTCAGAAAGCAGGACTTGTGGATCCTAAGAGCTCAGGATGCTGTAGTTAGTGGGTTTTTTTACTCTTCACTCTTTTTACTCTCTCGGGGGGGGGGGGGGGGGGGGAGCACCACCCAACTCCCAGATGATCACATGGAGTCTTATTCTTTCTTCTTCTTTCCCAGCCTTAGTTTGGCTTAATTTTTGACAGCTTTTCTTAACTTAAAATATCCCATCTACCATTTGCCTCGGGGCTTTTACCTTCCTCTATGTCTGTATATCTGTTCTTTACTTCTTACTCCATGGCTGGCTGTGTAGCTGGGTGGCTGGCCCCTGATGTCTTCCTCTTCTTTTCTCATACTTCGATCTTCTCTTTCCAGATTTCTCTTCCTATTTATTCTCTCTGCCTAACAACCCCAACTATCCTTTTTCCTGCCTGATTATTCTGCTCTTTATCAGACCAACCAGATGTTTTTGACAGGCAAAGTAACACAGCTTCAGAGAGTTAATGCGACATAAAAGAATGCAACACATCTTTGCATCATTAAACAAATGTTCCACAGCATTAACAGATGTAACGCAGATTAAACTAATAGTCTACAACACGAAGCTTGGTAGGGATGCATGCAGGGTTTGCTATGTGAAGCCTGGAGGATAGGCTGGAGGTAGAAGTTGTGTGATGCCTGCAGGAGGTAGGGGATGGTGACACCTGCAGGAGCTTTAGGGGTGTGGGGACGAAGACAGTACAGGCTCATGCACCTTCAGAAGGCTCCCCAGAAAGAGCTACATAGACAGAAGGGGCCAGGGCCAGGACACAGCTAGCCGGTGAGTGGATTCATCAGTGAGAGAGAGTTTAAACAGGAGAGTGAGGGAGTGACTCCCCACTCATGGGATAAGGCTGGGGTTCTGTACGCCAGCAGCACATGAGAGCTGGTACTCTAAGGTCTGCTCATGGAAGGAGCACTGGGAACTGCGAGTGGCTGTAGACACCCGTCTCCTCAGCACCCATGGCCTGCATGGCTTCTGAGGCTCTTGTCTTAGAACCCCACACCAGTCTCTTCCTCCTTCCTCTTCCTTCCTTTCTTTCTGATGCTCCAGAGGACCCAGAACCAAAGTAGATGATGGGGCTGGGAGTGGTATACAGCAGAGGTGCCAGACAGGCCAGGGATGCACCTGCCTTGGAGAGGTCACCACTTCCTGAGCTAAGGGCCATAGAGACTGGAATCCCCTGCACAAAGCTCACAGTTTGACCAGGAGGAGCAAGTGAAGTAACCCTGGGCTACAGTTGTGCACACTCCAGAACATTCACTGCATGGCTGCAGATGCATGCCTGCTCTGCTTACAATGATGCATGCTGCCAGGTCTGCCCTCAGCATCCTTGGGTATCTTGCTCCATGCTGGGAGGGGTGAGGAGGCAGATGTCACCTCAGGGAGCAGTTCAGCTGCTGAAAGTCACCTTCCCATGGCCCACGTTCCTCCTGGACACCCCGCCTCGCCACTGACTGACACTGTTCTCTAAAGTCTTAGCTCCCTGTGCCAGCTTGGTCAAAGGCTTCCCCTGCCTCTCAGACCTCCTCACACGGGGCCTGGGCTTCCTCACTGCATGTGGTGTTGCACAATCTGTCCCTTTCCCCCCCAAAGTCTTTCGCAAGTCCTGTGCAATCTGGGTCAGCTCTGGTCCCCTGGCACCCTTGCTGCTACACAGCATTCACATTTAAAGGGATTTTCCTGTTCCTATAGTATTTTACTTTTTTGGTTTGTTGTTTATTTTGAGACAGGGTCTCATGTAGTCCAGACTGAACTTGCTGTGTAGCCAAGGATGAACTTGACCTCACATCCTCCAGGCTCCACCTGCCAAGGTCTCGGGTTAGAGTCATGCACCAGCATGCCTGGTTCTGTTTGCTCATCTGCTGACTATGAACAGCCTGTAGCTAGTGACTTCTTGTAGCTCATGTAATAACAGTTTATTTATATACTTTAAAGTTTTCATGTATGTAGAAGTCGGAGAACTTTTGGGTGTTGATTCTCTCCTTCTACGATGTGGGTCAAGGAGCTCAAAGACAGGTGATCACTCTTGGTAGCAAGTGTCCCTGCCTGTTGAGCCATCTTGCTGTCCTGTGACAGTTATTTTTAAAATATGTTTGATGAGTACAGTCTTTCAAGTGAAACTTAGTAGTGACTGTGGCATGTTAAGAAGCTGGGTATATGGGGGTGACACAGGGATGGGGCTCCCTTTTCCCTTCCCTCCTTTCTGAGCTCTCTCCCTTCATACCCAGATTTGCATTCCCACACTAATCAGGACCCCCTTGCTCTTCCATTGATGAGAATGAATATCTACCCCCTTCTCCTCATCCCCTCTAGTCCACATGGAACTTCCTTGTTCCCAGATGAGCTAAACAGCAAAGTTCTGACCCCTGAGAGCAAGGAGGGCTTGGAGTTCCAGCCAGGTCTCCAAAGGGCCTCTGGTTCTGTCACCTGCCTTCAGTGGGAACCAGATTTGGGTGAGAAACACAAACTTGAGGCTAAAGAGGAAGTGGGGGAATTGTGGGTGTGTTGAGGAGAAATGAGCAAGACTCTTCCTTCTCTGCGGTTTCTTCGTGGGCTTTATCTGCTTTCCACGCCTGTCTTCTGGGGCAAGAGACTACACTATCTCTGTGAGCCTTTATCTAGTTCAGTTCAGAAGCCTAGAACCAGAGCCTGGGCTGGAGGAGCCACAGGGCTGCACAGGACTTGTTCAATTTCCCTCTTGTTCTCGTAGGTCCCAGCTTCCTCAGCAGTTCACCCTGCACTGGCTGTGGGGGCTGCCTGGACCCTGCCCTGCCCTGGTCTCCTCTCCTCAGAGCATCCCTACCTCCTTCCATGCTTTCTCCCCTACAGCTTGAGCAGAGGACCTATGGCCTGGGAGGACACATACCTGCTATCCCCCATCCTGCTGGTGCTCCTGGCCTCAGGTGAGGACATTGGACAAGGATAGAGGGAAGGAATAGGGACAGGAGAGAGGAGTAGGAGGTCTGCAAAATGGGGCTCTATGGTTGGGAAAGCAGAACACAGAATATTGTGTGGCCTAAGCCACACCCTGAGCATAGACATTAAGGGGACAGTTCTGAGGAGGGAGCCCATCTCCTAGCCCTGTTGTGGACGCTGGGAGGACTCTCTGACCTGAAGAGTGTGTGTTTTCTCAGGCTCCTGGACAGAAGATGCAGAGTTACTTCCAACAGTGGAAGGCCAGACAATTTTTGTGAAATGCCAGTACAATAGCAGCCAGCACCTCAAGGAGAAGATTTGGTGTCAGAAAACACAAACAGAAAGTTGTAAAGTGTTAGTGTCCAGTCTCAGCACAGACACACAGTGGCCTAAGTTCTTCATCCAGGAATATCCAAAGTCTCACTTCTTCACTGTCACCATGACTACACTCACGGTGAGAGACTCGGGTCTCTATTTCTGTGGGATCTATGACAACCACAGAGCAATTGCTGTTCTCAGAAGATTTTACCTGGTGGTGTCAAAAGGTGAGCATCCCCCTTCCTGAGTCACCAGGCTCCAGAGTTGGAGAGGACTCTAGAAACTGTATCCTCTAGTAGCTGGGAAATGGGGCTTGAGTTCCTTGCTGTGAGGGACTGTATCTGAACTGTGTGCTACAACAGACTCTGGATTAGGAAAGCAGCTAAACTTAACGAGACAGACTATTAGGAACATGGAAGAGAGTGGTGCTGTGTGGGCCTGGCTCAAGAGACTTCAGAGGAGATGAATATTAGTATGTGGCCTAGAGATCATTTTTGTGATATTTTGGTGAAAATTGGTTGCTTTTTGCCCTTGTCTAAAAGAAAATCTGTCTGAGGCGAAAATGAAGGGCTATGGATGAACAGTTTTGGCAGCAGGGATTTTCAGACAGCCTAGTAGTAACAGTGTTGTTTGGTTGCCAGTGTCCACACTAATGCAGATTTATACTGAAAAGGAGCAAACTGAGCAAGGAAAAATACTAAATGTATAGTTTGAGGAAAAAGGAGACACCAGGATATGTAAACAGATTAAAGAAAAGCCTGCTACTAAGTAGAATAAAGACCCCACCCAGCTAAGATTCCAACTTGTGAAACGGGATTAAAGAAAAGTGGAGAAGGACTGGTTCAGATGGTGCACACCTTCAATCCCAGCACTCAGGAGGCAGAGGTAGATCTCTGAGTTCAAGGCCAGCCTGGAATGCAGAGTAAGCTCCAAGACAGCTAAGCTTAGGCAGTGAAGAAAAACGTAAAGCTGGTGTGTGTGTGTGTGTAGGTGTTCGTGTGTGTGTAGGTGTTCGTGTGTGTGTAGGTGTTCGTGTGTGTGTGTGTGTGTGTGTGTGTGTGTGTGTGTGTGTGTGGTGTGTTTAATATAGGAGGAACAAGCCCCAGCAAACAGCATTACTTGGCAGGTTCGGACACGTGGTTCTGGTTTTAGAGTCAAGGATAAGAGAAAGAGATTATGTAATCTCTCTTTGCAAATAAGGAAAGCAAAGGAGATCAGATGTGTGGCAGAAGTGTCCTTGTATGGAAGCCCACAGAGGCCATTACATAAAGCTGTGCAAGTAAAGCCCAGCTTTGTTGGAGAACCCAAGATATTCGCGACACAAGAAACAGGGAAGAGGTAAACAAGGAGAGCTGCTAACAGGGAGTGGAACCAACCCGAAAAAGAAGCATATTACAGTCAACAAAGCTGAAACTAGCTGGAGATCTGAAGAAAGCTTTCATATCAGAGATGCAGTATTTGAAATTTGCAGAGAGGTTTTGGTGTATCTTTCCCCCAGTATTTTTCACTATGCTCCTATCCTCCCTATTGGAATGGTAGTGTGTATTCTATGTCACTGTGTGTTGGAAGTATATGATATGCTCTTTATTTTTATCTTACATGGGTCACAGTAAAGAGATTGTTATGAGTATCCATAGAGATTTTGAACTTTGGACTTTTAAACAAATATAAGATCAGTTGAGACCGATAGATTATGAGGCTTTTGAAATTGGACTGACTGCATTCCTGCACTATGATATGGCTACAGGTCTCTGGGGGCCAGGGAGTAGAATGTGGTGGTTTGAAAGAAAACTGCCCCCATAGGAGCATAGGAAGTGATACTCTTAGGAAGCATAGTCTTGTTAGAGTAGATGTGGCCTTTTTAGAGGAAGTGTGTCACTGGGGGTGGGCATTGAGGTTTCAGATGATTAAGCAAAACTTGTGTGGCTGTCCCCCCTCTCCTTTAATCTGGCCCCATCCCTCCCCATCTCCCTCTTTCTTCTTGTTGCCTAAGGAGCCAGATATAGAACTCTTAGGTACCTCTCTAGGACCATATATACCTGCATTTCCCCATGATTCCCCCATAGCAATAATGGACAGAACCTCTGGACTGTAAAATAGCCTCACTTAAATGTGTTCCTTTATAAGAGTGGTCACGGTGTCTCCTCAGAGCAATGGAAATCCTAACGACAGATGATGTCAGAGTGTGGACATGTTCATGTATGTGAGTCCATGGAGTTCATGTCCTGCAACACATGTGGGCTGGGAAGGTGGCTCAGCTGGGAAAGTGCTCATCATGCGTGCATGAATCCTGTCCTGAGTTCTGTTCTCAGTGCTCACTTCAAAAAGCCTATCATGGTGGCCTGCATTAGTAATGGAGGTAAAGGCAGGTGGACCCCTGGGCTCACTGGCTAGCCAGTCTAGACGGGGCAGTGAATTTCAAGGAAAAAGTGAGAAACTCTGCCTCAAAAAAGTCAGGTATCCTGAAGAATGGCAACTGAGGTTGACCCCTAGCCTCCACACTCATGTACACCCTTACACACATGTGTATCCATATTCACATAACAACACTTAGTACAACATGGGGATCCTTTCCAAAGATTGACTTCCATGAACCACATGTCATGTGACTCTGCAGTAAAAACAGAAAATAAGACACAAATCATGTAAGTTTTAGGCAAACCATTTCTGACAGAGCTTAGCTGACATTTCAGGCTGCAGGGCACAAGCTGTGAGAGGGGAGAGGGAGCTGGGTCAGGTGAGGATGCACTGGAGCCCAGGGTTTCTAGAAGCCTGCCTTTCTCCCAGAATCTTCATCTGAGGTCCAGTGCAGGACAATGGTAAGTGGGGTGCTGGCCATGAATCACCTTGGGTATCAGGGTTCAGTAAAGGGCAATCAGTAGACATGGAACATATTGGGCTCCATTTTCAAGTCTACTTAGAAGTCGTGTCCTTAGGAATCTCCTGTAATTTACTCTCCTCCTCCCAAGATGCCCTTGGTGCCCCCCATGGGCTTCTAAATTGTGTATCTCAGACCTTGCTGTGGACATGAACCACCTGAACTCCTTATTTCATGCAGACCCTGGCTCAGCAGACCTGAAGTGAAACTTGCATATGAGAAACAAGGTTCTTGGCTCACTTCAGTAGGGACCAATGCACTTACAAGTTCCCCTATGAATTTCTGAATTCACCGAGGAGCAGCTGGTGCCTTGCTGGGCCCTACATCCCCAGTAGTTTAGTGGATGATCAAGGAAGGCAGAGAAAAGAGAAACAGGCCTCCCTTCTTAGAGCCAGGGAGTCTGTGCCAAGCCCAAGCTGAGGCTCAGATGCAATACAGAGGTAAAGGACACCTTTAGAGAGACGTGACTTACAGAGGCAGAGAGAGCCATGTAAGGGCGAAAGGGGGAGGTGGAGAGCTGGACTGCAGCAGAGAGAACGTTTCCACACCTCAGATAGCCCGAGGAGTCTTTCCTTCACGCCTCTCCAGCCCTCCTCCTTTTCTCTTTCCAGTCATCTTTTTCTGTCTCTGCTTCAGACTGGCTTCTTTGGATTTTACTAGAAAAATCCTTGCTTTTTGAATAGCCATGTTCTTTTCCCTCCCCAGCTCCACTCTCCTCTACCTATTCAACTCTCCATTTATTATCCATCATCTATCATCTATCCATCCACTTATCCATACATTCTCGGTGTCTTCCTGCAGGTCATTCAAATGCTACTGCCTCTGCCATGATTCCAACTTGGACAAGAACTAAAGCTCCCCCGTTTAATAACAGAAAGGACCTGAGCACTCTCTTTGCCAGGTGTGTGTGTGTGTGTGTGTGTGTGTGTGTGTATGTATGTAAAACCATAACCCAAGTCATCTGCTGTTGTTCCTTCAGATCCTTAAGTCACATTCTTCAATATGACAGGTGTTACCATTATGTCTTCAGTCTACTGAGCTCCTTGTATGAATACTTTGGTCCCCAGCCCATGGGCTGCGAGGATATGGGAATGAAGATGGGGTTAGGTGGAGCAGGGGCAGACTCAACTTCCCTCAGTCTGTGAAGAATTTCCCTGTGAGGTTAAAAGTGATGACTGACTGAGAAGAGGCTCCTCTCCTCCCCAGCTCATCCCATCCTCCCAAGCTCACCCCATCCTCCCCAACTCACCTTCTACTTTGTTTCACACCTGGGTATCAAGAAAAGGAAAATGGTGTCTTTAATGGCTAATAGTCCCGCCAACCCAGGAGTGGGATAGTGTAGTGATATACACTCAGTGAGCCTGGGTTCTCAAGACAGGCACATTGTATGACTTCATGCATGTTGGGAAACTCTGTAGTGTTTTGATATTGGCAGTCAGAGCTGGAAAATGATCAAGTCACAGGTTTGCTATGGTTTGGTTTGATAAGATCTCACTGTGTAGCCTTGGCTGAGCTGGAACTCTTATGTTGATCAGGCTGACTGTAAACTCAACAGAGATCCACCAATCTGCCTCTGCTTCCCAAGAGTGGGATTAAAGGCATGTACCCTCATATCTGACTAGCCCCACAACTCTTGCAATTTTGGAGATGATTCCAATTTTTGCATTTACTTTCATTTTGCTTTTCTTTGCTTTGCTTCTTTAATTTGTTTTCTTTTGTACTTGGGTTCAACAGTGGTGTGAGAACCCAACTCTACATTAATGGGATGTCAATTTCTGCCATGATTCTCCACAATTCAGCTGTTGTGTTTTGCAAGCTGAGGAGGGAAATGGAGGCCTTTCATGTGCTGTGTAGATGTTTTAACTCCAACCTACATCTCCAGGATCCTAAAGTAAGATTTTCAAGTTTCTAACAGGCATTGTGAGTGTCAGCTTCCATCTTTATATTCCTTTTGTACCTGTGTCCTACCATGTAGAGCACCGTATCCCCACCTATCTTTTTCAGGTCAGGCAGAGGTCTCTCTCTCTCTCTCTCTCTCTCTCTCTCTCTCTCTCTCTCTCTCTCTCTCTCTCTCTCTCTCTCTCTC